CGCCAGGCTGGAATGCGGAAAGCCTCCGGAGATTAATTCCCACGCGCGGGGCCCGCGGAGGAGCCGCAATCAGGCGCCGCGTAACGGGGACGAGAGTTAACGACGAAGCTGACGCGTGCGGCGGAGTGGCAATGGCGTTCGGCTTCACGGGCAATCGCAGCCCGGCGCTGGCGACTGAAAGAGTCTCCATCCTGATTGCTTCAGGGCAGAACAATTCGTATGAATGAATAGGAGCAGTAAGTGGCCTTATTGAACAACTTTTAACCAAAATTGGCACACGCAAATAGCTGTATGTGCTGTGAGGTGGTCTCAGATCTGTACTAGGATGACTGGAGCAGCAGGTGTGAGTACAGGCAAAAGCTGGTACGGCATTAGCTGATGCGTTTCTTTCTCTCCCTTCGCGGGAAGTGGGGGGTGGATGGAGGTGGAATGGGGGGGATGGAGGAGACATGGAGAATGCCTAATTTACGGGGCAGATTACTGGCGAATATCTTCGAAGGCTGAGTTACTGGAAAACGAAGTCGCAAGTTGTCGTGGTCGAATCCGAATAGTAACATTCCGTCAGGAAAAGGGTAACTCGTTCTTGGCGAGTATGTGCGAGCAAGTGCTGAGTAACTCCTGAAAGGACGGAGCCGCACTGATACGCTGCTGGGGGGAGATCTGAATGACGGTTCAAATCGGTTTGCCTTTTGGTGGGAAAAGCGGGCGACCCGACAGAGTCCCTTCCTCCCTATCCAAAAGTTAGGCAGGCCGTTTTCCTGATTGGGTTGTCAGAAAGTGGCGGGAAGATTGCCTCACATCCGCTCGATCGAACTCCATCTACGGATTACAGAAGCCGTTGCGGAAAAACAGGATGTCTCACCCAGACTTTTGGGCCATGTCAGCAATGGATGTGAATCTTCCACGAGGTGTGGAAGGGGTCACGACCCGCACGTGTGAGTCGCGCAGATATTTTCGCCCTAGAGGGACTGGTTTGGTTGGGCAATGGGTAACTCCAAGTCAAGTGGGGTTACCAACAAAACTGTCAGGAATGGGATTCGAACCCATGCCCTTTCGGACCAGTACCTGAAACTGGCGCCTTAGACCAACTCGGCCATCCTGACATATCTACAATGTTCTAGAAAACTTTTCTTCATGTAACTTCCCTTCCTTTCCCTTGGCTCTCGAACATTCCTTGAGTTTCGTAGAAGTGTCGCCACTATGTGACGTCACGGGTCTAGAAATTAGTTTTTACTTTCCTAGGAGCCTCCTCTTACCAGCCGGTCTCGAGACTACTGCGGAATGGCAGCAGAGCTTGTGGCCCAGCATTTACCAGCAGCAGGGAAAGGCAGTACATAATCAACGTTTGCTGCTGACAATTGTACAGATCTTTGAAAACTTCTCGCTGTTCCGTTACAAACGCCGTAGTTCCAGATTTCCCAATCCTTATATCGAGGCCATCTCCCATTCTCCAGGAGGAGCAGAACAAATAGACGTGACGGGACTACTAATTTAGGCTGCGCCGCCTTATTCTTAAGAATCGCTGTCAGGTAGGCTCCGCATTTCCGCAGTCTGCTTTCAATATTCTCCTACCGTCGCAGCATCTCCGCGCCGCCTCTTCTAATATCTCCACATCCCGTCGCGCGCTTACGCCGTTTTCTAATTCTTACTGAAATGGCTAATTCTGTGTCGTTTGCTCCCATTCGGCCGGTGCGCGTTCTCTCAGCCCGCCATCAGCCGATTCGTCCTCAGGCGTTTCCGCGCGTTACGAGTTCGACCGAGCGTATTACCGGAACGACTCGGCCCTTTCGCGCGCTGCGACATCTCAGAAGCGCGCCGATTCTTTCCTTAACTGCCGCGCAGCTCTGCCTCCTCGCCACGTCATCCTTCGCCACGTCAGCATTCCCGTCTGAGGCACGCGCCGCGTCAAGGAGCGAAACCCTTTGTGATTCGCTGCCCGTCTGCCAGATTGACGGGGAAGAGAGCCCGTTTGCTGCGACGCCACGTGGCAGGCATCCCGCGGTTGGTCAGACCCACGCGACGCGTACTACCTCGACGGCTGAGGAAATGGAGGCGGATTCAGCGGCGGGAAACGCGGGGAACGAGCAGGCGGAGCTTCCCGTTATCTTCGTGTCGCACGGGTCGCCAATGTCTGCGGTAGAAGAAGACGAAACGTCCTCCTTCTGGCAGCGACTCGGGAAACAGGTGAGCGCTCCGCCTTCTGACAACGAAACTACGCCCACTCCATTTTAGTCCCAGGCGGCACTGTCCACCCAGTCTGTCATTCATGTCCTTCCCACCCCACCCCAACCTACCCCATACCACCCCACCCCACCCCATACCACCCCACCCCACCCCGCACCACCACTCCCCCATCCTCCTCCCCCCTCCCCTTCCCTGTCCTCTCAGGTCGCCGCCTTACCCAGCGTCAAGGCCATCCTCGTTATAAGCGCGCACTGGGAAGCAGACGGGGCGGCAATCCGAGTGAACAGTGCCGCCCAGCCGGCCACTATTCACGACTTCTACGGGTTTCCCCGCGAGCTGTACGAACTGAAGTACCCTGTCAAGGGATCACCGGAGCTAGCACAACATGTAGTGGAGGTGAGAATCGATGCTTTTTAGGCACCTCATTGAATGGGTTTTCCTCGCGAGCTGTACGAACTTAAGTACCCTGTGAAGGGATCACCGGAGCTAGCACAACGTGTAGTGGAGGTGAGACGTGAGAATCTATGAGTAGCCAGCCACCATTAGCAACTTTTACGGGTTTCCTCGCGAGCTGTACGCGCTACAGTATCCTGTCAAGGGATCGCCATAGCTGGCCCAACGTGTAGTAGAGGTAAGATTTTAATAAACATAATTTTAAAGGAAACGGATTCTCATAAGAATTTGATGTCTCCTCCGCTTGCCAGTTGGTTTGTTGAACTGAAATCCGCTTTCTCCCCCCCCCCCCGGCTTGTTCCCCATGCCTCTCCCATCCTGGCCTGTTGACATCAGCTCCTCTCGGCCAATCACATCGAAGCTGAGCTGGACCCCTCCCACGGGCTCGACCACGGCGCGTGGGTCCCGCTGCGCTGGATGCTGCCACGTGGCACCATCCCAGTGGTCCAGATGTCGTTGCACGGCGGCAGCAGCCGGCAAGTGGGGAACGCCATAACGAGTATGCAACGCCACGTGGAACTGGGTCGGGCTTTAAGGCCGCTCAGAAGAGAGGGAGTGCTGGTGCTCGCGAGTGGTGGTGCTGTGCATAACCTGAGAGAAGTTGGATCGTACTTTGGGACCAAGAAGGTACGTATGTGTTAGTTCAGCTCTTAATGAGTGTTTATGTCACTTCAAATGTGCACGTAACATTATCCTTCTCTCATCCCATTATCCTTATTTCGCTTTGGCCTTCCCTCGCTTTTGTACAATAGTGCTTCGCGTTTTCCCCAGTCCTGACAGGTCTCTAAACTCTTTCGTACTTGATGCTGTTGCGATGCCAGGTGGCATCCTATGTGGCGCCCTTTGATTCGCTGCTGGATGAGGCAATCACCAAGGCCAAGTCAGATCAAGACATGCTCACCAGCCTCTTGGGTGCGTCTCTCCTCTGCTGTTTTTTTAGGTGTTTGGAAGTGCGCCTGCACTTTTCTTTGTCGAGTCGACTCGACAACGAAGTCAGACAATTTCTAGTTGTCAGGAGGCTCAGTCTCCCTGCCTCCTGGGGTGCGACTTTCCACCCCTCAATCTCTCGGCGTCTTGAAGTGTGACTGCTCTTTTCTCTTTTATGCACTTCAAAAGTAAGCTCACCCGTCCCTTGGTTGTGTATTTCCTCTGCCCCTTTCTGCCCTACCTTCTTGCAGCTCTCTCCTCCCACCCGCTCCTGCCCAAGGCCCGTCTCACCATCGCACCCCTGCTCCCTCGCTACATCGCATCAGGCATAATCAAAGACACCCTCCTTCCCCTGCGTCCCTCCCGCTCTCCCTCCCTCCCTGCAGCTCTCTCCTCCCACCCTCTCCTGCCCAAAGCCCATCCCACAATTGTGCACCTCCTCCCTCTCTACGTTTCTGCTGGTGCCACTCATTTTTCCCTCTCCTCTCTTCCCTCTTTCTCCCTTCCCTCCCCCCTCCCTCCCTGCAGCTATCTCCTCCCACCCTCTCCTGCCCAAGGCCCATCCCACCATCGAGCATCTTCTCCCTCTCTACGTTGCTGCTGGTGCTGCCACTGCCAATGCTGCACCTTCTAACGAGGATGGAAACCCTCCAGGAGGAGAAAGATCTCAGCCGTCCATTGCCCCTCAGAAGCTCTTCCAGATGCACATCTGGACGCTCAGCAACGCAGCCTTTAGCTTTGGGAATTTGCCAAGGGAGAAGGCAGCAGTGCCGGCATAAGTTTAGTTAAGCATGAGGGGGGGAAGGCGGAAGATCTCAGACGTCCGTTGCCCCTTAGAAGCTCTTCCAGATGTACATCTGGACGCTCAGCAACGCAGCCTTCAGCTTTGGGAATATGCCAATGGAGAAGGCAGCAGTGCCGGCATAAGTTAATTTAAGCATGAGAGGGTTAAGGAGGAGGATCTCAGCCGTCCATTGCCCCACAAAAGCTCTTCCAGATGCACATCTGGATGTTCAGTAACACTGTCTTCAGCTTTGGAAATATGTCTAGGGAGAAGCTAGAAGCAATGGCATACTGTAGGCTGTTCTTTGGTGCATTGAGCTCTGCATGCCCAGTGTTGTAGAAATGAATGCTCTGTTTTGTAATATGATTTTATATGCAATGCCTTGTTATGTTATTATGTTATGTGCTTTCTATGCTTTCCTATTGTGTACTCAGCTTTCAACCACTACCGGTACTCCACACACAAGTATGCATGGAACCATCATAGTAGACCCATTGAATAGCTGCTTTGAAGCTGCATATATCGAAAGAGCAGTCATGCGCTTCTATCCACAAGTAAAGTTAGCAATAACGTCATACTTCAGGGAACACTACTGTAAAACCCTATAATACCTATCAGCATGTACAAGTACCATTGGCAGCACATCAGCTGGTCATGCTATGAGGATAGACAATATAACCACAAATAAAACTGCCAAAATCCTGTACAAACTTGAGTGGATGCTTGAAGCTGCTGAACACAAGGAACGGAGGAGAGTAGAAGGCAGGCAAAAGAGGACGAGAGAGCATTTCTCTATCAAAACCAGCTCAACGATTCGAATTGACTCACAAGGTCAGCTCCTCTCCTCGCTTCACTTCTCGTTTCCGCTCCTCGCTTCATTCTCCCAACTCATTCTCTCTGCACCTCCTTTTTCCCGGCACACAGAAGGTCTGGCAGTTTTGCAGCTTTGACATATGGCAGCAGTGCATGGATCCCCCTCCTCTTCTCACCACCTCCCTTTTTCACTCCCTCTCTTCACCCGCCTTCCTCCTCTCCTCAAGTCCTCGCCTCCTTTCCCGTAGCACGGGCCACAGAAAGCTGGGCAGCTCTTGTAGTCTCAAACACATGGCAGCAAAACACGTGCCTCTCCCTTTTGGACCACCTCACTGGCTGTCTGCACCTTTCTTCCCAACCCAAACCTCACCTCCTTTCCCGTAGCACGGGCCACAGAAGGTCGGGCAGCTCTTGCAAAAAGCGGTGGTGGGATACTGGGGCACCACGCAGTTTCCATCGGTCGGGCAGGACAGAAAATTTCTGTCGTAGTCCCTGGAGCAGCAGGCGAGGAGGGAATTAGGCAGGACAGAAAGGGAAGGAAATAGATTGAGAGCAGGGAGCACAGAGGAGAGAGGAGAGAGGAGAGAGGAGAGAGGAGAGAGGAGAGAGGAGAGAGGAGAGAGGAGAGAGCAGAGAGCAAAGAGCAGAGAGGAGAGAGCAAAGAGCAGAGAGGGGAGTGCAGAAACAGAGAGAGCAGGGAGTAGGGAGCACTCACAGCAGGGTGAGCCTGGCAAAAGAACCAAGTGTGGCAAGCACAAGAGCGTGGTGTGGTGATGGTGTGGGAAGCAGAGAGCAGAGGGCAGAGAGCAGAGGGCAGAGGGCAGAGAGCAGGGAGCAGGGAGCAGGGAGCAGGGAGCAGGGAGCAGGGAGCAGGGAGCAGGGAGCAGGGAGCAAAGAGCAGGGAGCAAAGAGCAGGGAGTAGGGAGCAGAGAGCAGGGAGCACTCACAGCAGGGTGAGCTTTGTAAGGGAGCCGAGTGTGGCAGGCAGGATCCCTGCCATCCGGTTGCCTGACATGTTGCTGGGGGATGGGGAACAGAGGTGTGCAGAGCGGTTGAGGTGGGTGAGCATGGGTGTGATGGTGTTACCAAGGGAGAGGACTGGCTTCACAAGGCTGCCTATGGTGGTGGACGGGACGGACCCCTGCAGACGGTTGTTACCGCATCACACCTCATGTCACCCCACACCACCACTGACACTCATAGCGTCGTCAGCTTGCCATGGTGGATGGGGAAATCGGCCGCCGCAGGCAGCTAATTGGAGCTCACTTCCCTATCACCCACCCACCAGTCGCCCTACACATCATGCCCGATGTTACCACACCGCACCCCACGTTACCGCATCATACCCGTTATCACCGCACACCACCATTCACAGTGCCGTCAGCTTGACAAGATTCCCCATGGTGGACAGCACTGGCCCCTGTAGGCGGTTGACACACATTCCCCTCACACGCCTTCCAACCTACCCACTATACCCCGTGTTACCACATCACACCTCCTGTCACCGCACACCACCACCACCACTCACAGTGCCGTCAGCTTGACAAGATTCCCCATGGTGGACGGCACTGGCCCCTGTAGGCGGTTCACACCGAGTCCTCTGGCATCGGTTAGGTTAGGTTGGGTGGGGTGGGGTGGGGTGGGGTGGGGTGAAGGAGGGATGGGGAGGTGGAGAGGGGAAGGACGGTATGGGACGTTGGAGGTGGGGAGATGGTGCGTGGGAATGGCCCTTGCAAGCTATTAACTCTCAGTCCTCTGCATGGGTTGGGTTGGGTTGGGTGGGGCGGGGTAAAGGAGGCGACGGGACGTGGAGTGGTGAAAGACGGTATCGGACGGTGGAGATGGGGGGATGGTGGGTGGGATTGGCCCACCAGGGGATTGACACCCATTTCCCTGGCATTGGCTGGGTTGGGTGGGGCGGGGTAAAAAAGGGGGCGGGGAGGTGGAGAGAGGTGAAGGACGGTGTGGGTCGGTTGAGGGAGGAAATGGTGGATACGAAGGAAAGGGCGAAGAGAGGAAATGGGACAATTCACATTCTTGGAAAATTATCCCCCTAATTAGAAAAAAGGGCGAAGAGAGGAAAGGGGCAACATAAAATCCGCGAGACATGAGACGACTTTTGAGGCGCCTCAAGAGAGGAAAGGAGCAGGGGGCGAGGAGTGAAAGGAAATGTCCTCCTTTCCCTCACTCCTCGCCCCTCGCCACTGTTGTGGGTTAAGAAAGGTTCGATGAGGGAAAGGAGGACATTTCTGCCCGCAGACAGACTTCAAGTGTTGATTCACACACAACAGTGGCTGTGAGTCAGCACCCAGAGCGGTTAAGGTGGGTACAATCACCCCCAGACAGACTTGAAGTGCTGATTCACAGACACTGGGTCACTAGGTACTGACTCACAAACAACAGTTGCTGTTTCACGGACACTAGTTTTTGACTCACAAACTCTAGCTGCTGAATTACAGACATTGGTGCTGACTCACAGACAGCAGTCGGTGACTCACAGGTACTAGTTGCTGACTCACAGAGAATAGATGCTGACTCACAGATTCACATACAGAGGGTGCTGAAACACAGCCACCAGATGCTGACTCACAGACACTAGCTGCTGACTCACAAGTACTCGAGGCTGACTAGGTTCATGATTGAGTCGGGTATGAAGCCGCTGAAGCCATTCTCTGAAAGCAGCCTGCAATGGAATGTGGAAGGGGGAAGGGGGAGTGGAGGTGGGGACTAGGAATGAGAGGAGCAGCTGGTTGGCGGGATTGGGCTGACTAGGCTCATGATTGAATCAGGTATGAAGCCGTTGAAGAGATTGCGTCGGGTATGAAGCCGTTGAAGAGATTTTCCGATAGCAGCCTGCAAAGAGGGGAAGAGCGGTGGAGAGAGATAGTAGGGCTACTGGGGAAGAGCGATGAACATGGGCTCCAGGAGGTTCATGATTGAGTCAGGTATGAAGCCGTTGAAGCGGTTCTCTGAGAGCAGCCTGCAGGGAAAAAGCGGTGGAGGGAGAGAGAGTAGGATTGATGGGGGGGAGAGACGAACTAGGGCTCCAGGAGGTTCGTGATTGAGTCAGGTATGAAGCCGTTGAAGCGGTTCTCTGAGAGCAGCCTGCAGGGAAAAAGCGGTGGAGGGAGAGAGAGTAGGATTGATGGGGGGGAGAGACGAACTAGGGCTCCAGGAGGTTCGTGATTGAGTCGGGTATGAAGCCATTGAAGCGATTCTCCGACAGCAGCCTGCAGGGGAATGGGGAGGTGGGGGAGGGGGAGTGTTGCGAGGGGGTAGTGGGTGGAATGAGGAGTGGCAATACAAGCCATGATGGAGTAGGCGGGTATGAACCCATTGAAGCTATTCTCTGACAGCAGCCTGTAGAGGAATGGAGAGGGAAGGGAGGTACGAATGCAGGGGAAGGGGCAGGGGAGTAGAAATGAGGTCGTCAGAAGCGCCCAAACAAAAGCTCGCCATTGCAACCCCACCACCATCTCACCCTCCCCACCATCTCACCCTTATCATCACCCACTCACAGATGCTCGAGAGAGGAGAGGGCGGAGATGGAGCGCGGGATGGAGCGTGAGGTTCGAGACTCACAAGTCAATCACACTGTGAAACACTCATCACCCACTCACAGATGCTCGAGAGATGAGAGCGAGGAGATGGAGCGCGGGATGCTGCCTGCGAGCTTGTTGCTCCGGAGGTCGCTGGTGGGGTGAGAAGAGGCAGGGCAGGTGGAAGGAGATGGGAGGTGTTTTTGAGACGTCTCAAAAACACCCTCACTGCACAGGGCAGGTGGAAGGAGATGGGAGGTGTGGAGGCAGTATTAGAAGCTCAAGAGATGGGAGCGAGGAGATGGAACGAGGGATGCTGCCTGCGAGCTAACGAGGGAGGCCAATTGTGACTTACAGTGTCTTGAGCAGAAGAGCCTGGTTCCCAGTGACAGGGAAGACGGTGCGTGTGCTTGTAACGAAGGATAACGCAAGAAACAAACATTCGTGGCTGTGACTCACAGTATCTTGAGCGGAAGAGCCTGGTTCCCAGTGACAGGGAAGGTTCCTTGCAAGTTGTTTCCTCCCAGGCCGCTGCACAGGAGAGGTGAGGGCGCAGGAAAACAGGGATTTGGTCATCTTGAAACACAGTTAAAATCGCCTTGCAACACATCGTGAGGAGAAGAGCCTGGCTGCCCGTGACAGGGAAGGTTCCTTGCAAGTTGTTCCCTCCCAGGCCTCTGCACGGGAGATTGGGGAAGCAGGAGAGGAGGTGGTTTTCACTTCACAATAACGGATCATGAGTCATCAAACATTGCAAGCGTGACACAATATATATACAAATAAACATAAATGCATGTATACACTTATACATATGTACATACATATACACATATACAAAAAAGACATTACAGACAGGTGAGGTTAGAGAAGCTGCTGTGAAACGATACAAACAAGCATGACAACATTACAAATGGCATTACAGGTAGGTAAGCGCAGGGAAGCCGTCAAATATAGGAACAGAGCCATTGAGCTTGTTGCTTGCAAGGTTGCTGCAGGGGGGAGAGGGGGGGGGAGAGTGGAAGCGAGAGGGAGGGAAAGGGAGGGAAGAAGAACAGGCAGGTAGGTGAGGGCAGGGAAGCCATCAAATATGGGGACAGAGCCATTGAGCTTGTTGCTTGCAAGGTTGCTGCGTGGAGGGGGAGAAGCACGGGGACGGGCGGGGGAGAGGTGGGGAGGGAGGGGAGGGAAGGGGAGGGAGGGGAGGGAAGGGGAGAGAGGGGAGGGAAGGGGAGGGAGGGGAGGGAAGGGGAGGGAGGGGAGGGAAGGGGAGGGAGGGGAGGGAAGGGGAGGGGGGAAAATAAGCGTGAGTGCATGTGAGCCGTCGAATGTGGGAACTGAGCCGCTGAGCTTGTTGCTTGCAAGGTTGCTACGGGGGAGAAAGGTGGGGTGGAGGAAGGTGGGGGGAAGGGAGAGGAGGAGGGGGAGCGAATCACTGAGTCAGCTTAAGTGGATTTGCCAGGGAAGAGGAGCAGAGACGAAGGGCGAAGGAAGCAGAACTGTGAATCCAACACAAGAAAAAGACAAAAAGAATCTCACAGGTAGATGAAGGCAGTGGGGTTGGTCATGGGACTTGGGCTGCTGCTTGTGAGATGACTCAATATAAACTCAAAAGAAACGAACAAAATAAGAGTAGACTAAATTAAACTACTCACAGGTAGGTGAGGGCAGTTAGATTGGTGATGGAACTGGGAATGCTGTTTTCCAAAGCATTGTACTGAAGATCACTGTAGCGAGGATAATGGGCAGGGAAGATGAGTGAAAGGTGGCAGTGGAGGGCTTTAAGGTCGGTGGTGGAAAAGGGGTTGATGTGAGGTTTGATGTCCTCTGAGGCGTTGTAGCGAAGGCCATTGAAACGAGGGGGGTGGGAATATGAGTGAAAGAGGGGAGAGGCCAAGGAAAAGGGGGAATCAAAGGAAAAAAATATTACGATAATGAGGTGAGGGAGAGCAAGCAACGTAAAGCTATGTGAGGGCTGCGAGTGATCTCCTTGTGGACGGTAGGGGTGCAGACATGCTCGAGGCGCCTCCAAAGCGAGCGAGCAAGCGAGCAACATACAGCCATGTGAGAGATGAGAGCGATCCCAGTGTTGACGGCAGGGACACAGATATGTTGTTTGAGGCGCCTCCTAGGGAGCCTAAAAATCCCAACTTCTGGGGCGCCTCAATTGCCCAAGCAAGCAAGCAACGTACAGCCATGTGAGGGGTGAGAGTGGTCCCAGTGTGGATGGCAGGGACGCAGATACGTTGTTTGAGGTGCCTCCATAGCCCAACTTCTGAGACGCCTCAACAGCCCAGTGTATGAGGCGCCTCAAAGCCCATGTGAGCAATTTTTGAGAATTCTAAAAAATCGCGCCCAACGTATGAGACGCCTCAACAGCCCAAGCGAGGAACGTACAGCCATGTGAGGGCTGAGAGTAATCCCAGTGTTGACGGCAGGGATTCAGATACGTTGCTTGAGGTGCCTCAGAAGCCCAACTTCTGAGACACCTCAAAGCCCAACGTATGAGGCGCCTCAACAGCCCAGTGTATGAGGCGCCTAAAAGCCTCTAAAAAATCGCGCCCAACGTATGAGACACCTCAACAGCCCAAGCGAGGAACGTACAGCCATGTGAGGGTTGAGTGCGATCCCAGTGTGGATGGCAGGGACGCAGATACGTTGCTTGAGGCGCCTCAGAAGCCCATGTGAGCGATTTTTTAGAATTCTCAACAATCGCGCCCAACGTATGAGACGCCTCAAAGCCCAATATATGAGGCGCCTCAAAGCCCAAGCGAGCAAGCGACGTACAGCCATGTGAGGGCTGAGAGAGATCCCAGTGTGGATGGAAGGGATTCAGATACGTTGTTCTTGGACAGGTCTCTGGGCAACGAGGGGCACAGGAGATAGCAAAAAAAGCAAGAGGGGGAGGGAGGGGGAGACATGAGAAGCAGGGCGGGAAAGGCTAGAGTGTGACGCAGGTGAGAACTAAGAGTAATCCCTGTGCGAAGTGGTTTTAAAATTTCTCAAAAACCGGTGAGAACTGAAAGTTATTCCAGTGCGGAGTGGTTTTTAAGAATTCTCAAAATCCGGTGAGAACTGAGAGTAATCCCAGTGCGGACTGGAGGGATCCCGATACGTTGCAACCACTCACAAATACTGACAACCGTTATTACCACTCACAGGAACTGCAGCTGCTGCAGGTTCCCCACACCAGACCAGCCGACAGGGTCCCTCCTGATCGCTGTGAGCTGATACCTTGTAATTAGCTGCTTGCAAACACCAACAACTGTCACCACTCACAGGAACTGCAGCTGCTGCAGGTTCCCCAGACCAGCCGACAGCGTCCCTGTGAGCTGATTGTCACCCAGATTCCTGAAACACACACACACACACACACACACACACTCACACACACACACACACACACACACACACACACACACACACACACACGCGTCCACGTGAGTGAGGTTTGAACAGTATTACATATCGTAGATGGAAAGTAAGTGAGGCCACTCTCTCCGACTTGTGGAGGCAGAGGGCAGGGGGCCACGAGAGGTGGGGAGAGAGGTGGGTGGAGAGTGGGGTAGGAAAGCACTCACAAGAAGGTGACGAATGTAAACCGATTTTTGAGTCGACTCAAAAATCGTCAAAAATAGAGTGAGGTAGGAAAGCACTCACAAGAAGGTGACGAGTGAGGTGGGGGAGCACTCACAAGAAGGTGAGGAGAGGGGAGGAGTGAGAGGGGTGGGGACTGAGGGAGGGAAGGGAAGGACTCACAAGAAGGTGAGTGAGAGGGGTGGGGAGTGAGGGAGGGAAGGGAAGCACTCACAAGAAGGTGAGGAGTGAGAGGGTGTCGAGGAACCGAGGGAGCGGGCCTGTGAGCATGTTGATGCCCAGATTGCTGTGATGGGGGGAAGACAAGGGAAAAGGTGGGGGAAGGGGAAGGAATGGAAGGAAAGCGAAGGGAGGGAATTTGCAGGTCGACTGGAGTGAGAGTCAGGAAGCACAGGGCATGGGTCGAGAGGAAGCGGGCCTGTTAGCATATTGATGCCAAGATTGCTGTGATGTGGGCGAAGGTGGGGGAAACAAGAAAGGGAAGGTGGGGAAAGGAGGATCGGGTGGGAGGAAAGGCATGCAGGGGGAGGAACAAGAAGGGCGAGAGCGAGGGCAGGGTGTCAAGGAACCGAGGGAGCGGGCCTGTGAGCATGTTGATGCCCAGATTGCTGTGATGTGATGGGGGGACAAGGGGAAAGGTGGGGGAAACAAGAAAGGGAAGGTGGGGAAAGGTGGGGGAAAAGAGAGGGAAGCAAAGGGAGGGAATAAAGTGGAGAGGAAATCTCATAGCTGATTCAAAGGGTGTGAAGGAACAGAGGGAGCAGGTCTGTGAGTGGGTTGATGCCCCGATTGCTGTTAGCACAGACGGGAAGGGAGGGGTCAGAACGGGCAGAAGAGAAGGGAGGAGACGGGATGAGAGGAAACGAGAGGGGGAAGAGAGGAGGGTGGAGAGAAGTATGAGAAGGTGTGGGGGAACGAATGACAAGATTATAGCTCGGTGCAGAACGGTGGGTACACCTCAACAGTTCCTGAGAATAGTGCTGTGCGTTGACTAGAGCCAGGTAGGCAGCACAGGGCATGGGTAGAGGCACAGGCAGCACAGCGCGTGTTTACAAGCGCTACAGCAAAGGGCAGTGTACTGATTGAGGCAGGAAGCACAGGGCATGGGTAGAGGCAGCACAGGGAAGCACGTGGCATGGGTAGAGGCAGCACAGGGAAGCACGTGGCATGGGTAGAGGCAGCACAGGGAAGCACGTGGCATGCTTACAGATGCTGCAGGTTGGTGAGAGCGCCAAAGGTGGTGGGGATGTCACTGTCAAGGTTGTTCTGAAAGAAGTTGCTGCGATGAGAGGCAATGTGGGAGACAGAAAGTCAAGACGGAAATAAGGTGGTGAGACGAAGGAATGAAGCCCGAGAAGGTTCGAAAGGCGGTGAGGATGTCACGGTCCAGGTTGCTCTGAAAAAAAACAGCTGGGAGGAGAGGCGTGAAGGGGACTTATAGGTCGCCTCAAAAGTCACCTCGTGAGGATGTCACGGTCCAGGTTGTTTTGAAAGAAGTTTGCTGGGAGGAGAGGCGTGAAGGGGAGAGGGAAAACGGGGCAGGTGATGAGAGACAAGGCGATGAGAATGGTTGCGGCAGGCGAGGGAGAAAGAACGGGAGGGCGCTAAAGGTGGTGGGGATGCCACTGTCAAGGTTGTTCCGAAAGACGTTTCTGGGGGAAGAGCGGCGAGGAAGGGAGGGGAGGGACGAGGTGGTGAGTGGGGCGGATGGGAAAGGGGATGCAGGGTAGTGGGATCATGAGACCCCAAAGGTGGTGGGGGTGTCACTGTCAAGGTTGTTCTGAAAGACGTTTCTGGGAGAAGAACGACGAAGGGGACGAGAGAGATGGAGGGAGGCAGACAGGCGGGGGGGAGGAAGGAGTGGAAGGAGCAGAGAGATGAAAGGAGCGGAGGGGTGAGAGGAGGGGTGAGAGGAGGGGTGGGGTGAGGGGAAGATAGGGATGAGGGGAAGGGAAGGGAGGGGGGATGGGAGTGAAAGGGCGATCGGAAAAGGGGCGGAGGGGTGAGGGGAAGAGACTGGAGGGGTAGGAAGGGGTGAGGGGAGGGGAGTTTAGATGATGGGGGACGGGAGAGGTGAAGGGAGAGCACTGGGGCGATGAGCGGTCCCTGGGAGGGAAGAGCTAGGTAATGTGGAAGTTGTGGTGCAGTATTTTTCTTTTGAGTCGACTCAAAAGTCAACGCTATGAGCGGTTCCTGGGGGGAAGAGAGCTAGGTAACGTGGAAGAGGTGGTGCAGTATTTGTTCTTGTAGTGATTATTGGGATGTGACTATAAGCGATGCAGCCATGGCTAGCGGGACCTGAGCAGTGCGAGCTTACAGGTATGCTGTCCCTTTTGAATTCTCTTAAAGGTTGATCCGGTATAGATGGCTTACAGGTGCGTCAGAAGCGTCAGGTTGCCTATAGACGAGGGCAGCACCCCTGAAAGGGACGTCATTTCCATTGACCTGGCGGGGATAAGGGTGTGTGGGTGTGGTTGGGGTGGGGGAAGGGCATGGGGGCTGATGAGGGGAGTCGGTTGCGTCGGGTTGCCTACAGACGACGGCAGCACCCCTGAAAGCGACGAATCTCCATTGACCTGGCGGGGACAGGAAGGGTGGCAGCAGTGGAAGGAGGCGGGAGAGGGGTGGAGAGAGGTTGGGTGGGGTGGATGGACCTTGCAGGTTGCCAATAGACGACGGCAGCACCCCTGAAAGCGACGAATCTCCATTGACCTGGCGGGGACGAGGACAGTGGAATGGGGGGAAAGAGAGGCGGGCAGTGAGTGCCTGTGGACGCGGGCAGCACCCCTGAAAGGGACGACATTTCCATCGACCTGGCGGGGAAAGAAGGCAGCGTGTGTGGTTGGGGAGGAGGGAGAGCAGCGAAAAGGGGCTGGTCAGATGCATGGGGTGCGTCAGGTTGCCTAGAGATGAGGGCAGCATCCCTGAAAGGGACGACATTCCCATCGACCTGGCGGGGAAAGAAGACAGCGTGTGTGGTTGGGGAGGAGGGAGAGCAGCGAAAAGGGGCTGGTCAGACGCATGGGGTGCGTCAGGTTGCCTAGAGATGAGGGCAGCATCCCTGAAAGGGACGACATTCCCATCGACCTGGCGGGGAAAGAAGGCAGCGTGTGTGGTTGGGGAGGATGGAGAGCAGCGAAAAGGGGCTGGTCAGACGCATGGGGTGCGTCAGGTTGCCTAGAGATGAGGGCAGCATCCCTGAAAGGGACGACATTCCCATCGACCTGGCGGGGAAAGAAGGCAGCGTGTGTGGTTGGGGAGGAGGGAGAGCAGCGAAAAGGGGCTGGTCAGACGCATGGGGTGCGTCAGGTTGCCTAGAGATGAGGGCAGCATCCCTGAAAGGGACGACATTCCCATCGACCTGGCGGGGAAAGAAGGCAGCGTGTGTGGTTGGGGAGGAGGGAGAGCAGCGAAAAGGGGCTGGTCAGACGCATGGGGTGCGTCAGGTTGCCTAGAGATGAGGGCAGCATCCCTGAAAGGGACGACATTCCCATCGACCTGGCGGGGAAAGAAGGCAGCGTGTGTGGTTGGGGAGGAGGGAGAGCAGCGAAAAGGGGCTGGTCAGACGCATGGGGTGCGTCAGGTTGCCTAGAGATGAGGGCAGCATCCCTGAAAGGGACGACATTCCCATCGACCTGGCGGGGAAAGAAGGCAGCGTGTGTGGTTGGGGAGGAGGGAGAGCAGCGAAAAGGGGCTGGTCAGACGCATGGGGTGCGTCAGGTTGCCTAGAGATGAGGGCAGCATCCCTGAAAGGGACGACATTCCCATCGACCTGGCGGGGAAAGAAGGCAGCGTGTGTGGTTGGGGAGGAGGGAGAGCAGCGAAAAGGGGCTGGTCAGACGCATGGGGTGCGTCAGGTTGCCTAGAGATGAGGGCAGCATCCCTGAAAGGGACGACATTCCCATCGACCTGGCGGGGAAAGAAGGCAGCGTGTGTGGTTGGGGAGGAGGGAGAGCAGCGAAAAGGGGCTGGTCAGACGCATGGGGTGCGTCAGGTTGCCTAGAGATGAGGGCAGCATCCCTGAAAGGGACGACATTTCCATCGACCTGGCGGGGAAAGAAGGCAGCGTGTGTGGTTGGGGAGGAGGGAGAGCAGCGAAAAGGGGCTGGTCAGACGCATGGGGTGCGTCAGGTTGCCTAGAGATGAGGGCAGCATCCCTGAAAGGGACGACATTCCCATCGACCTGGCGGGGAAAGAAGGCAGCGTGTGTGGTTGGGGAGGAGGGAGAGCAGCGAAAAGGGGCTGGTCAGACGCATGGGGTGCGTCAGGTTGCCTAGAGATGAGGGCAGCATCCCTGAAAGGGACGACATTCCCATCGACCTGGCGGGGAAAGAAGGCAGCGTGTGTGGTTGGGGAGGAGGGAGAGCAGCGAAAAGGGGCTGGTCAGACGCATGGGGTGCGTCAGGTTGCCTAGAGATGAGGGCAGCATCCCTGAAAGGGACGACATTTCCATCGACCTGGCGGGGAAAGAAGGCAGCGTGTGTGGTTGGGGAGGAGGGAGAGCAGCGAAAAGGGGCTGGTCAGACGCATGGGGTGCGTCAGGTTGCCTAGAGATGAGGGCAGCATCCCTGAAAGGGACGACATTTCCATCGACCTGGCGGGGAAAGAAGGCAGCGTGTGTGGTTGGGGAGGAGGGAGAGCAGCGAAAAGGGGCTGGTCAGACGCATGGGGTGCGTCAGGTTGCCTAGAGATGAGGGCAGCATCCCTGAAAGGGACGACATTTCCATCGACCTGGCGGGGAAAGAAGGCAGCGTGTGTGGTTGGGGAGGAGGGAGAGCAGCGAAAAGGGGCTGGTCAGACGCATGGGGTGTGTCAGGTTGCCTAGAGATGAGGGCAGCATCCCTGAAAGGGACGACATTTCCATCGACCTGGCGGGGAAAGAAGGCAGCGTGTGTGGTTGGGGAGGAGGGAGAGCAGCGAAAAGGGGCTGGTCAGACGCATGGGGTGCGTCAGGTTGCCTAGAGATGAGGGCAGCATCCCTGAAAGGGACGACATTTCCATCGACCTGGCGGGGAAAGAAGGCAGCGTGTGTGGTTGGGGAGGAGGGAGAGCAGCGAAAAGGGGCTGGTCAGACGCATGGGGTGCGTCAGGTTGCCTAGAGATGAGGGCAGCATCCCTGAAAGGGACGACATTCCCATCGACCTGGCGGGGAAAGAAGGCAGCGTGTGTGGTTGGGGAGGAGGGAGAGCAGCGAAAAGGGGCTGGTCAGACGCATGGGGTGCGTCAGGTTGCCTAGAGATGAGGGCAGCATCCCTGAAAGGGACGACATTCCCATCGACCTGGCGGGGAAAGAAGGCAGCGTGTGTGGTTGGGGAGGAGGGAGAGCAGCGAAAAGGGGCTGGTCAGACGCATGGGGTGCGTCAGGTTGCCTAGAGATGAGGGCAGCATCCCTGAAAGGGACGACATTCCCATCGACCTGGCGGGGAAAGAAGGCAGCGTGTGTGGTTGGGGAGGAGGGAGAGCAGCGAAAAGGGGCTGGTCAGACGCATGGGGTGCGTCAGGTTGCCTAGAGATGAGGGCAGCATCCCTGAAAGGGACGACATTTCCATCGACCTGGCGGGGAAAGAAGGCAGCGTGTGTGGTTGGGGAGGAGGGAGAGCAGCGAAAAGGGGCTGGTCAGACGCATGGGGTGCGTCAGGTTGCCTAGAGATGAGGGCAGCATCCCTGAAAGGGACGACATTCCCATCGACCTGGCGGGGAAAGAAGGCAGCGTGTGTGGTTGGGGAGGAGGGAGAGCAGCGAAAAGGGGCTGGTCAGACGCATGGGGTGCGTCAGGTTGCCTAGAGATGAGGGCAGCATCCCTGAAAGGGACGACATTCCCATCGACCTGGCGGGGAAAGAAGGCAGCGTGTGTGGTTGGGGAGGAGGGAGAGCAGCGAAAAGGGGCTGGTCAGACGCATGGGGTGCGTCAGGTTGCCTAGAGATGAGGGCAGCATCCCTGAAAGGGACGACATTTCCATCGACCTGGCGGGGAAAGAAGGCAGCGTGTGTGGTTGGGGAGGAGGGAGAGCAGCGAAAAGGGGCTGGTCAGACGCATGGGGTGCGTCAGGTTGCCTAGAGATGAGGGCAGCATCCCTGAAAGGGACGACATTCCCATCGACCTGGCGGGGAAAGAAGGCAGCGTGTGTGGTTGGGGAGGAGGGAGAGCAGCGAAAAGGGGCTGGTCAGACGCATGGGGTGCGTCAGGTTGCCTAGAGATGAGGGCAGCATCCCTGAAAGGGACGACATTCCCATCGACCTGGCGGGGAAAGAAGGCAGCGTGTGTGGTTGGGGAGGAGGGAGAGCAGCGAAAAGGGGCTGGTCAGACGCATGGGGTGCGTCAGGTTGCCTAGAGATGAGGGCAGCATCCCTGAAAGGGACGACATTTCCATCGACCTGGCGGGGAAAGAAGGCAGCGTGTGTGGTTGGGGAGGAGGGAGAGCAGCGAAAAGGGGCTGGTCAGACGCATGGGGTGCGTCAGGTTGCCTAGAGATGAGGGCAGCATCCCTGAAAGGGACGACATTCCCATCGACCTGGCGGGGAAAGAAGGCAGCGTGTGTGGTTGGGGAGGAGGGAGAGCAGCGAAAAGGGGCTGGTCAGACGCATGGGGTGCGTCAGGTTGCCTAGAGATGAGGGCAGCATCCCTGAAAGGGACGACATTCCCATCGACCTGGCGGGGAAAGAAGGCAGCGTGTGTGGTTGGGGAGGAGGGAGAGCAGCGAAAAGGGGCTGGTCAGACGCATGGGGTGCGTCAGGTTGCCTAGAGATGAGGGCAGCATCCCTGAAAGGGACGACATTCCCATCGACCTGGCGGGGAAAGAAGGCAGCGTGTGTGGTTGGGGAGGAGGGAGAGCAGCGCCGATCTCTCAGAAGCCCCACCGCCCTCCTCCTCCTCCCTCCCCACAGCTTCCTCCTCTCCCGTGCCTGCCTCTGCCTACGCTGTTCCGCACGCCGGCACCACCAGCCTGGCGTGTGCTCCTACAGGGCAGGACGCTGATTCTGGGCTGGTCAGACGCATGGGGTGCGTCAGGTTGCCTAGAGATGAGGGCAGCATCCCTGAAAGGGACGACATTCCCATCGACCTGGCGGGGAATGAAGGCAGCGTGTGTGGTTGGGGAGGAGGGAGAGCAGCGAAAAGGGGCTGGTCAGACGCATGGGGTGCGTCAGGTTGCCTAGAGATGAGGGCAGCATCCCTGAAAGGGACGACATTCCCATCGACCTGGCGGGGAAAGAAGGCAGCGTGTGTGGTTGGGGAGGAGGGAGAGCAGCGAAAAGGGGCTGGTCAGACGCATGGAAGGGACGACATCTCCGTCGCCCTGGCGGGGAGAAAGAGGTTGGAGGGGGGGAAGAGCAGGGAAGAAAGGGGGCGGGTGAGGCAGGTGCGCCAGTAGCAGAGTCCGGTTGCCTAGAGATGAAGGCAGCACCCCTGAAAAGGACGACATTTCCGTCCCCTGGCGGGTAGAGAAGGGAGTGTGTTTGTGAGGGGTTGGAGAGGAGGGAGAGCAGCGAAAAGGGACTGGTCAGATGCATGGGATGCGTCAGGTTGCCTAGAGATGAAGGCAGCAACCCTGAAAGGGACGACATTTCCGTCGCCCTGGCGGGTAGAGTAGAGAGTGTGTTTGTGAGGGGTTGGAGAGGGTGGAGAGCGGGGAAGAAGGCGGCTGGTCAGATGCATGGGCTGCGTCAGGTTGGCTATGGAGCGAGGGGGCAGCACCCCTTCCAGCGATGACATGTATTTTGACCTGGTGGGGATATGAGGGAAAGGGGAAGGGGGAAGAGAAGGGGGAAGAAGCGAGAGCGAGGGTGAGAAGGAAGAGCATGGGGAAGAAGGGAGAGCGGGGGGGAGAAGGGAAAGCATGGGGGAGAAGGGAAAGCGGGGGGGAGAAGGGAGAGCGGGGGGGGGACTCTCCCGTCGGACAGGAGAACGGGTGGGAGATGGGAGAGCGGGGGGCAGACGGGATCCTGTTACAGTCATGCTCACATCCTCAAAATCATCCCATTACTGTCAGACTCGAGACGCATTTTCACAGTTTTCCCGTTACAGTCACACACTCACATCTTCACGATCATCCCGTTACTGTCACACTGCAGCCCCTCCGCAGTGGCGCAGTCCTCCCCCGTGGTCCATCCAGTGAAGTTGCGCATCCACAGCGCCTGACAGTCCAGCAGCACGGGGACTGGGGGAGGAAGGGAGGGTGGAGAGGTGTGGAGAGTGGTGGGTGGGGAGAGGGAACACAACGCCTGGCTGACAGTCCTCCCCCGTCGTCCATCCCGTGAAGTTGCGGATTCACGTCGCCTAACTGTCCAGGAAATACGGGGGGAGGTACGGGGGGAAGTATGGGGGGATGGGCGCGGAAGTAAGGGGGACGGGGTGAGGAGCAGTGTCACGCCTGCGGGCTTACACAACGGGTTGACGGGCATCCGCTGCGCCTCTATAAGTTTCCTTTGTGAGGCGCCTCAAAACCGCGAGTCAAGAGACGATTTTTTAGGCGCCTTTTGCGGCGCCTAAAAAACACTACACAAGGGGTTGACGGGCGTCCGCTGCGCTCTATAATACTCCTGCTTTGACCCAGATGGTAGCGGGACGCTATAAGTAGGGAGAGAGGGAGGTGGGGAATAGGGGGAGAGGGAGAGGGGGAGTTGGGGTAGAGGGAGGTGGAGAATTGGGGGAGAGGGAGGTGAGGAATGGGGAGAGAGAGAGAGGTGGGGAATAGGGGGAGAGGGAGGGAGGGAGTAGAGGGGGAGGGGGGTGGGGAATATGGGGGGGAGAGAGGGTCGGGAAGAGGGAACTGGGTTGATGGGTTGGAGGAGGGGGGGCGGGGAGCAGTAGCATAGTCCTACCCCGTGGACCTTACAAAGGTGAAGCTGCGACTCGCAATAAATTACGATGGAATAGGGCGTCGTGAGGGCGAGAAAGCAGAGCAGGAGAAGATCGACTACAGATTGCTTTCGAGAAATTTCGAGAGTGACTTCAGCAGTCGATCAAACGTGACTTGAGAAGATGCTCGGATCTGACTAGCTAGCATGAAAACCGTACGATCAGACTACGGAGGTTCCGCGGAGGTTCGGCGGTGCTCACTTTGCGACGGATCGACTGGCTGCGATCGAACGAAGATAGAAAGATTCGGAGCTGCGAGAAGCAAAAAGGCGAGAACGAGCAAGGTTTGATTGACCGTTGACGCCCGTCTACTGCTTATTTGCCTCATTGTCAACCGCGATTCGGTTGCTCGTTGGATAGAAATAAGAACCTATATAATAAGTTACTGCAAGGGCAATGCGGATACGGAGTCTGGTCTTGCGTAAGAGGACTACGTGGATTGGAGAAAGCTACTAAGGAAACTATTCTCAACATTCACGGATGGGCTTGTGGAGATTTTGGGAGGAAAGCAAAGCCTGGTTGGGCTTTGGGACTGTCGAGTCGCGACGCGACTGTTTTGGTGAACCTGTCAGTCAAGCGAGGTCCGCTGCGCGCGTCAGTCCCGCGGGTTCGAGAATCATGGGTGCATTTAAATTTGACAGTCTAGAGCTCGACTCGGTTAAATACAAGGCTGGGACAAAAAGCAGCTTGGCTATGAATGTACGGCACACAGATGTAAAGGTCATAATGTACTTATTCTCTACTGACGGAGATTGCTACCTCCAACTTAGAATAGAACAGATCAGATATGCAATTCACCCACCTAACTTACTATATACAATTAGCAAAAAGGGGGCCCCCTTTTCTCTTCAAACACCTATCCTATGTACATGCACCTAAAGCAACCTCAAAATTTGGTCTATATGTAACCAACCACTTGTTGCACCAGACAAAATTTGCTCCTCCAACCCCTCTCCTCCAAGGCATTCCTTTCAATAAACCAATAAGTTACGAACCCTTTTAACCTGGCTCTATCACTGTACACCACCATCATCCGGTGTATCTCCCACAATCCCTCCCCTATCGTCATCCCTCATGCTCTCCACCCTCAGAATCTGCTCCTCCAAAGTTTCCCCCACACCAACCGCCAGCTCAGAGTCAATCCTGACCGCTCGCTCGTCCACGTCGCCACCTGTCAGCTCGGCCCGTATCGCCTTGAGATCTCCAATGATCCGCATCATATCGGGGCGCGATGCGGTCGGCATGGCCGTACAGCTCAGCGCCAGCTCAGCAAGGCGTAGGATGACGTCAGCAGGGCCCTCGAGACGAGGGTCTTTGAAGGAAGCCACGTCACGAGCAGCAACTAATGGTCCCACCTGTGACGGTCAGGGGAGATAGGAGAGAAAGGTTGGGGCTTGATCAAAGTTGATTACTTGATGTGCTTTGACCCTGGCTCGAATTCAACTCACCTATGCTTTGAGGTTGACTCGGAGTCAACCCAGCCATCAACACTCCAAAGCTGATGAGCGATGGGAACACACACGGCAAGTCAACTCACCCATGCTTTGAGGTTGACTCGGAGTCAACTCACCCATGCTTTGAGGTTGACTCTGCTCGTGTCATTGGTGCGCACGGCATGCTGTGCTGTTATCACCGCCAGCATCACCACTCCAAAGCTGATGATGAGCAACAGGAACACACACCGCAAGGCATGTAGGGCAAATGCAGGACGGCATGGAAAGACATGTGAATGCAGCGGCACATGCAGGTGCACGTGAAGGTCATATAGCCTGCATGTGAATGCAGCGGCACATGCAGGTGCACGTGAAGGCCAAAGGGCATATGACAAGCAAGCAGGGTCCACATATCCCTGTGTGCCCATCACTCCCATCAACTCCCTTACATGAAGCCATCGCTTTCCACCGCACTGTACCGGCATGTGGGGCAAACGCAGGACGACATGGAAAGACATGTGAATGCAGTGGCACATAGTGCACATGCAGGCCGAGGGGCTTATGACAAGTACGCAGGGTCCACATAGGCCGGTGTGCCCACCACTCCCATGCACTCTATTACAGGACAGCGTCGGCTTATACGCCTCTGTACCGCACTGCACCGCTTTCTACCTTTACACATCAGCCATGGGGGTGGCCTTCTGTGACTTGAAGTAAGCGGGGTCCACATAGCCCGGTGTGCACAGCACTCCCATACCTTCAACCCCCTTACAACATAGTACCAGTTTGCACCGCTCTGAACCACTCTCTACCGCTCCGTACGACCCTCTAGCGCTCTGTACCTCTGTGTACCAGTGCACATCAGCCATGAGAGTAGCCTTTTTAGATTTGAAGTAAGCGGGGTCCACATAGCCTGGTGTGCCCATCACTCCCATGCTCTCTTACAGGACAACACCAGCTTGCACCGCTCTGTACCTTTCAGTACCAATCTCTACCTGTGCACATCAGCCATGGGTGTAACCTTTTGCAACTTGAAGTAAGCGGGGTCCACATAGCCCGGTGTGCACAGCACTCCCATACCATGAAACCCCTTACCACGCAATACCGGTTTGCACCGCTCTGAATCACTCTTTACCGCTCCGTACCACTCTCAACCGCTCTGTACCGCTGTGTACCTGTGCACATCAGCCATGGGAGTAGCCTTCTGCGACTTGAAGTAAGCGGGGTCCACATAGCCCGGTGTGCGCATCACTCCCATAGACTCCCTTACCGGACAACACCGGCTTTCACCGCTCTGAACCACTCCGTACCACTCTCTACCGCTCTGTACCTGTGCACATCGGCCATCGGGGTAGCCTTCTGCGACTTGAAGTAAGCGGGATCCACATAGCCTGGTGTGCCCATCACTCTAGTGTTACCCACTGTGCTGCCCTCCCCTTCCCTCAGCAGCCCAAAGTCGGCGATTTTAGCCTGGTGGGAGGGGGAGAGGAAGGGTGGGAGGGGGAAGCGGCGGGGGCGGGGTTGCCATGAGTAGAGAAGGCAAGACAGGGGTGTGCCTATCTCTCTAGTGTTCCCCACTGTGCTGCCCTCCCCCTCCCTCAGTAGTCCAAAGTCAGCGATTTTAGCCTAGTGGGTGGAGGGTGGGGGGGAGAAGGGATCATGGGGTGAGTCATTTTCGACTCTGTAAAATGTTGCCCACTGTGCTGCCCTCCCCCTCCCTCAGCAGCCCAAAGTCGGCAATCTTGGCCTGGTGGGCATGAGTAGAAAGGCAAGATAAGGACCAAGTAAGGTGGTGAGTTTGTTTGTATTCGAGTCGGCTCAAAATTATATTGTGACACCCATAATGATGCCGATACATACTTTGCAGTAAAGCAAGGGAAAAAAGGTATTGTATATAAATATGTATATATATTTATATTTACATATATATGAGTGCGCATGTGTGTGGGGGTGTGTGTGTGTGTGTGTGTGTGTGTGGAGGGGGGGAGTGTGGGTGTGTGTGTCTGGGTGTGTGTGTGCGTGCGTGTGTGTGTGTGTGTGTGTGTGTGTGTGTTTTACTTTAATAAATTATACATGCATCTTGCCGTCAAGCAGGATGTTGGCAGGCTTGATGTCGCGATGCCAAAGCTGTGCAGATACTACAGCCCCGCCCTTCCCCCTCTATCTACCGACCCACGTTCATTCGCCATTACCGGCTCACATTCATCTTGCCGTCCAGGAGGATGTTGGCGGGCTTGATATCCCGATGCACGATGCCAAAGCTGTGCAGATACTCCAAGCCATGTGCTGCGCCAATGAGGATGTTCACACGCTCGAGCAGGGACAGCGGCTTTGGTGCCTCTGATGGGCCAAGGGAGAAAGGTGAGAGTGCAGAGGATGAGCGAAAGTGCACGTTGCACGATGCCAAAGTTGTGGAGATACTCCAACCCAAGGGCCGCACCGATGAGAATGTTCACACGCTTGAGCAGCGACAGCAGCTTGGGTGCTTCTGATGGGTGGACAAAATAAGGGAGGTGCGAGTATGGAGCATACAATCAAGGGCACGAAGCCAAAGCTGTGCATATGGATGCCAAAGCTGTGCAGATACTCCAACCCAAGGGCCGCACCGATGAGAATGTTCACACGCTCTAGCAGGGACAGCGGCTTTGGTGCCTCTGATGGAGCAAGGGGGGCAAGAAAGCATAGAGCATGGAGACGGCTCAGAGCTTAAACTCAATGCAGAACCCCGAATTCAGCAGCTACAAAGCAAGGACCCTCTCTATCCAACGGTCGGGGTTTCAAGATGCTCCCCGATCCAACGGTCGAGATCTTACCGTCTCCGATCCAACGGTCGAGATCGCCGTTCTCCATGAACTCATAAACCACCACCTGCTCCATCTCCTCCGTGCCCGCGTTGAAGTCGATGCAGAACCCCAACAACCTCACCAGGTTGGGGTGATGCTTTGACGCCATCGCATTTACCTGGAAAATGAGTAAGGGTGGTTGTGGAAGAACGAATGAGGAGGAGAAACCGTAAGCAAGGAGAATGTGATTTGAGTCCACAAGTTGGTAGGTAACGATTCAAAGGGGTGAATCTAACAAAAGTGACACAATTCCATAAAGGGGAATTCAAGCGCTCTTGCCAAGCGAAAGTTAACTCATCTGAAGTAGCACCATCTTTTTGCCATATTCCTTACAAGTTAACATGCAACGCAACACCATACCATTCCTCTCCTCGCATCATCATCACAGGATGCACAGAATCACCAGATCTAGCTTCAATCGTCTTCCACACCAGCACGCTTTCTACAATAGTCCTAAAATTCAACGTTAGGTCTTTAGTGGGAACAGTGCACCAGACCTACTACCCGCAAGTTAGAAAGGTTTCGCATTTCACGGAGAGCAAATCCAGCGGGACATGCCTACGGTCTCAAACACATCGGCATTGCGTCGTTCTCTTCACCTTTTTGCCCTTTTTTGCACTCTCCTGTAAGGAGGCGAGAGAGTGGAATGCCACCCGATGTGTCCAAGGTTGTAGGCATGTCTCGCTGGATCTGCTCTCTGTGGAATGCGAAACCTTTCAAACTCGTGAGTAATAGATCCGGTGCGCGGCTCTTACAAAAAACCTCGCTTTGAATTGCGGGTTTATTGCAGAAGCGTGTTGGTATGCAGATTGATTGCAGCTAGATCTGGTAAGCTGCCCTGGGAGGCTAATGATCCAAGGAGAGGAATGGTATGGTGTCGCGTCGCGTCCTAAGTTGTACGGAACAGGAAGGAAAGATAGTGCTACCGTCAAATGAGTTAATTTCCACTTGGCAAGTGCACAATGCTGCTCACCTCTTTCTAAAAATCCTTAGCGAGAACTCGAGCTCGCTTCAGGGCCCACACAACATTCGGATCAGTTGGGCGCACGCCCCGGTAACACGTCACCATAGCCGCCCCTCAAACCCCCGCATACCTGTCGTTGAAAGTCCTTGGTCAGCACTCGAGCACGCTTCACGGCCCACACAACATTTGGATCGGTCGGGCAGATGCCCCGGTACGCGTCACCAAAGCCACCCCTCAAACCCCTCCGTACCTCTCGTTGGAAATCCTTTGTTGAGGACTCGAACTCGCTTCACTGCCCACAGAAAAGAAGGATCGGTTGGGCACACGCCCCGGTAACACGCCACCAAAGCCGCCACTGCCAATGTCGGTGCGCTGTGCTGCTCATCTCTCTTTGGAAGTCCTTTGTCAGGACTCGAGCGCACTTCACGGCCCACACAACATTCAGATCAGTGGGGCGCACGACCCGGTACACGTCACCAAAGCCGCCGCTGCCAATGAAATTGCGATCCGCCCAGTTGGCAGTGGCACGCGCTGCATCTGTGGCGCTGCTGGGTTCATATGCAGTGCTGCTGGGTTCATATGCAGTGCTGCTGGGTTCATATGCAGTGCTGCTGGGTTCATATGCGGTGCTGCTGGGTTCATATGCAGTGCTGCTGGGTTCATATGCGGTGCTGCTGGGTTCATATGCAGTGCTGCTGGGTTCATATGCAGTGCTGCTGGGTTCATATGCGGTGCTGCTGGGTTCATATGCGGTGCTGCTGGGTTCATATGCAGTGCTGCTGGGTTCATATGCAGTGCTGCTGGGTTCATATGCAGTGCTGCTGGGTTCATATGCGGTGCTGCTGGGTGCAATGTGCTTCTCACCTCTCTCTGAAAGTCCTTTGTCAGGACTCGAGCTCGCTTCACAGCCCACACAACATTCGGATCAGTAGGGGAGACGCCCCGGTACACGTCACCAAAGCCGCCGCTGCCAATGAGATTGCGATCTGCCCAGTCAGCAGTGGCGCGCGCCACGTCAGCGAGCGAGTAGCGCTGACACACTTGCGGTGACGCGTCTGCTGCTGCTGACTCAGCGCTGATGTGGCTGCTGCGGCTGCGGCTGCGGCGGCGATATCCTGTGGGTGGGTAGGAGGTCAAGGGCGGCAAGAAGGGGGGGCAAGGGGGAAGAGGTTGAAGGGGGGAGATGAGTTAAGTGCTTTTTTTTGTCGACTAGGAAATGGGTGGTGGAAGAGGTGTGTGTGCTTGATGACTTTCGAGTCGACTCAAAAGTCACCTCGAAATGGGTTGGTGGAAGAGGTGTGTGTGCTTGAAAATGTGGGCCCCAAAGCAGGGCGTTTTCCGCATTCTCAGTAACACCCCGAGAACATGAAAACACACAAACACACAAAAACCCCACTACACATGTGAAGACCTCCACCGGTCCAGTTCCTGGCTGTCTGCACCCTTAGCGCCGACTCGACGCCTCAGAAATTATCCTAGTCCACTCCAACACTCGAATTACTTTTGAGACGTCTCATAAGTCGCTGACTTGACGCCTCCGAAATTGAGCCTTGTCCACTCCGACGCTCAAACCACCTCAACTCACCGCACCTCCTAATGCCTCTGAAGAACTTCTGAGCATTTAATTGAACTCATTTGAGACATCTCAAAAATAAAAATCCATTCAACTCGCCATACCTCCTGATGACTCTGAAGAACTTATGAGCATTCTCAAAACTTGTATTGTTGAGACGTTTCAGAGGTGACTTTTAAGTTGACTAAAAATTCACCTCACCTCAACTCACCGCACGTCCTGATGCCTCTGAATATGAGCATTCTATTGAGCTCGTTTCAACTTATGCCATCTCAGAAATAGAATCCATTCAACTCACCGCACCTCCTGATGCCTCTGAAGAACTTATGAGTTGACTCAAAAGTCACCTCACCTCAACTCACCGCATCTCCTGATGCCTCTGAAGATTTCCGAGAATTCAATTGAACTCGCATTTTGGAGACATCTCAGAAATCGAATCAGCTCAACTCACCGCCTGTGAAAAATCCGCCCCCACTCCCAGGCCCCCACTGTGCTGCAAGCATGGAAAAGCCCCCCGCGCATGCAGCAGCAGCAGCAGCAGCAGCAGCAGCAGCAGCACCACCACCACCACCACCGCAATGCCGCCAACTCACCGTTTGTGAAGAATCCGCCCTCACTCCTGGTCCCACCACTGTGCTGAAAGCACGGCAGAACCCCCCGCGCATGCATCACCAGCAGCAGCACCACCACCAGCAGCAGCACCAGCAACAGCAATGCCGGCAATGGCTCCCGTGGAAAGAGACGAGGAGGTGGAGGCGGAGGAGGAGGAGGAGGAGGAGGAGGAGGAGGAGGAGGAGGAGGAGGAGGAGGAGGAGGAGGAGGAGGAGGAGGAGGAGGAGGAGGAGGAGGAGGAGGACGGGGAGTTTGAAACGGGTGCTAGTGGTGGTGGCAGTGGCTCAGGTGAGGGATTGGCAGATGGAGGATTAGCAGGTGAGCCTGAGCTTGAGTTATCGATGCACTGGGAGCAGAAGTCACCACAGGATTTGCAGAACCCGGTGCTTGCAGCTTGCTTCACCACACAATCGGCGCCAGCTGTCGGGCACGACAGCCCTGATTGGTTGACACTTCTGGGGAGGGAGGGGGCAGGGAAGGGGGTGGTGGGGGGTTGGGCGGATGGGGGGTTGGCAGGTGAGCCTGGGGGTTGGCAGGTGAGCCTGGGGGTTGGCAGGTGAGCCTGGGGGTTGGCAGGTGAGCCTGGGGGTTGGGAGGTGAGCCTGGGGGTTGGCAGGTGAGCCTGGGGGTTGGCAGGTGAGCCTGGGGGTTGGCAGGTGAGCCTGGGGGTTGGCAGGTGAGCCTGGAGGTTGGCAGGTGAGCCTGGGGGTTGGCAGGTGAGCCTGGGGGTTGGCAGGTGAGCCTGGGGGTTGGCAGGTGAGCCTGGGGGTTGGCAGGTGAGCCTGGGGGTTGGCAGGTGAGCCTGGGGGTTGGCAGGTGAGCCTGGGGGTTGGCAGGTGAGCCTGGGGGTTGGCAGGTGAGCCTGGGGGTTCGCAGGTGAGCCTGGGGGTTGGCAGGTGAGCCTGGGGGTTGGCAGGTGAGCCTGGGGGTTGGCAGGTGAGCCTGGGGGTTGGCAGGTGAGCCTGGGGGTTGGCAGGTGAGCTAGAGTTATCGATGCACTGGGAGCAGAAGTCCACTCAGGCCTCACAGAACCCGGAACTTGCAGTTTGCTTCACCATACAATCGGCGCCAGCTGTCAGGCACAACAAACCTGATTGGTTGACAATTCTGCTTGGGGAAAGAACAAAAAGTTGAAAGACGTAAAGACTGATGAAAACATGGTGTTAAACAAAAATCAAAACAAAAAACGGGTTAAGAACCAGCATGTGTTTCGGAAATTCTAACCTAGTAGCGGCCTAAATTCCTTATGCGTCTCAATTTTGCAAAATAAGGCATGCATATAACGTATAAATCGCATCATCCCTCCTCCTTGACTCGCCTTTGAGTCCACGAAATACACCTTTTTTACAGGTGTGTCAGAGGTGATAGCCTCCTGGCAGCAAAGGGCACTATACTGCCTTGCTGTGCATGTGTGTGCATGTGTGTGCATGTGTGTGCATGTGTGTGCATGTGTGTGCATGTGTGTGTGCATGTGTGTGTGCATGTGTGTGTGCATGTGCATGTGTGTGCATGTGTGTGCATGTGTGTGCATGTGTGTGCATGTGTGTGCATGTGTGTGCATGTGTGTGCATGTGTGTGCATGTGTGTGCATGTGTGTGCATGTGCGTGCATGTGTGTGCATGTGTGTGCATGCTTGCAAGAATCCTTTCTTACAGAAGGGTAAGATTCCTCAGGCCTCCCAGAGCGGTTGGGATGGGTCCAGTGAGGTTGTTATGATCCAAATACCTGTGTGCGTGTATAGCATCCACCATGCATGTATGTGTGCATGTGTGAGCCATGCACCATGCATGTGTGTGCCATGCACCATGCATGTGTGAGCCATGCACCATGCATGTGTGTGCCATGCACCATGCATGTGTGTGCCATGCACCATCCATACGTGAGCCATGCACCATCCATACGTGTGCCATGCACCATCCATATGTGTGCCATGCACCATGCATGTGTGTGCCATGCACCATGCATGTGTGAGCCATGCACCATGCATGTGTGAGCCATGCACCATGCATGTGTGAGCCATGCACCATGCATACGTGTGCCATGCACCATGCATACGTGTGCCATGCACCATGCATGTGTGTGCCATGCACCATGCATGTGTGTGCCATGCACCATGCATGTGTGTGCCATGCACCATGCATGTGTGTGCCATGCACCATGCATGTGTGTGCCATGCACCATGCATGTGTGTGCCATGCACCATGCATGTGTGAGCCATGCACCATGCATACGTGTGCCATGCACCATGCATACGTGTGCCATGCACCATGCATATGTGTGCCATGCACCATGCATATGTGTGCCATGCACCATGCATGTGTGTGCCATGCATGCACCACATTCATGTGTGCCATGCGAAACACGAGAATCCGAAACATGGAAAGATATAAAGGTAACAACATACAGAGACAGCAGGGTTTGGTGTTTGAAGAAGTGTTTTGAGACGTCTCAAAAAAATCATGTGTGCAATGCAAAACACGAGAATCCGAAACATGGAAAGGTATAAGGTTAACAACAAACAGAGACTGCAGGGTTTGGAGACATAGGTATGGAATGAAATGAGGTAAGAACGTACAGGGAGTGCAGGGAGGTCGTTTTTGAGGCGCCTCAAAAACGACCTCGAGACCGCAGGGTTTGGAGACATAGGTATGGAATGAAATGAGGTAAGAACGTACAGGGAGTGCAGGGCAGCTAAGAAGGCCACACTAGAAGACAAAGGTCCCGACAGAAGGTTCCCAGAAAGTGACCTGCAAGACATCCCAACAAAGACTCAGCCGCGCAGGTAACATTGAGAACCCAAGGTTAGGAGGAGAGGTTATATGTACGAAAACAAATGGCACGATTCGATTGAAAGAAAAAGAAAAAGAAAACGAAAAAAAGAGGGTGGGGGGGAAGGGAAAAGGGGGAGGGCACCATATAACTTGCTTTATTTCAATTGGGATTGAGAATGTTGGAACAAAACTTGATTTCCCTAGCGGCTCACAGAGAGTGCAGAGCAGAAAGGCTGTAGAGGCTGTTGGGGATGCTGCCAGCCAAAGTGTTGCTGCTGAGATTCCTGGTGTGTGTGAAGTGAAGGTGAAGTACACACAGACAGGTGTTGCTGCTGAGGTTCCTAGTGTGTGCGAAGTGAGGGTGGGAACACACAGACACGTGTCGCTGCTGAGGTCCATAGTTTGAGCGAAGTGAAGGTGAAGAACACATGGGCATGTGTAGAGAATATACAGAAACTTGTGACGAACACATGGGCATGTGTACAGAATACACAGAAACGTGTAAAGAACACATGGGCATGTGTAGAGAATACACAGACACGTGTGAAGAACAGCAGGAAAAGCATTTATCACAACAACTCATAAATGTCCAATCGAATTTCTTTTTCGATACAACAATTTAACAGAAAGGAATTTCGATTGAACCTTTATGAGTTGTTGTGGTAAGAGTTGTCGCATTCAACAGAAATGGGTAGAGCAGCTACACATCCACAAAACAGGGCAATGGCTATTACAATCCAACAAGGCTGGCGAGGTTGCCAACGGCTACAGGAATCGACCCATCAAGCTGGTTGGCTGAGAGTGACTTTTAAGTCGACTGGCAAACACGTTACAATTAAACAACCATCAACCATTATAAATCAACAAGGCTGGCAAGGTTGCCAACGGCTACAGGAATTGACCCGTCAAGCTGGTTGGCTGAGAGATCCCTGCCTACACGCAATCCGCGTGTGAGAGGCCTACTTTTGAGAGGTGTGATACGTTACAATGCAACAAGGTTGGAAAGCTTGCCAACGGCTACAGGAATTGACCCGTCAAGCTGGTTGGCTGAGAGATCCCTGCCGGCCAGCCAGCACCCACGATTTTGGGATTCAGGCACAAGACAAAGAATGAGCACGAGAACAAGGTTTGAGACGTCTCAAGCATGGATGGAGAAGTGGAATCGACCCGTCAAGCTGGTTGGCTGAGAGGCCCCTGCCGGCCAGGCACCATGGACTTGAAAACGCAGGCAGAAGACAGACAACGGACAATGGGTACGAAAACTTTTGAGACGTCTCAAAAGCTGGTTGGCTGAGAGGTCCCTGCGAGGCAGGCCAGGCACCCATGGATTCGAAAACGCAGGCAGAAGACAGACAACGGACAATGGGTAAGAAAACTTTTGAGACGTCTCAAAAGCTGGTTGGCTGAGAGGTCCCTGCCGGCTAGGCACCATGGAATTGAAAACGCAGGCAGAAGACAGACAAGGGGTACGAAAACGCGTCGCAGGCGCCATACTGAAGGTTCGACACACCATGATAAATAAACGATTGGAAGGGTAGAATAGGCAGGAGACCCAAGAAAAAAAAGCATTAAGCATGAAATTTCTGCTTGTTGTGATGCCTTTTAGGCATCACAACAAGTCAGAAAAACAGGTCAAAACAGCATGCAGATAGAAGCTACCAGCCTACCTGCCCGTTTCACACCTGTTGCGTTGCCAACCTACAAAAATGCGAGTTCACTGAGTCGGGATATGCCTCCAGGGATTCTGCCTCTTAGCCTGTTTGCAGTCATATTCCTGTCAACACCATGGTTGTCGCATTGCAGAATTAGGTTTGTATTCATAAAGAAGCACTCAAGAAGGATAAGTCTGTTCTTACAGCACAAGAAAAAAAGAACCAACGTAAGAATCCGACACATCATATCCATCTTCAGCCAACAGTTTTGAAAGCAGTTGGCAGAATGAAGGTTTTTCCATGTAGATGCAGAATGAATCAGCCTTACAGGTATGAAATGGCAGAGAAATGAGTTAGCTCCATGGGCAATGTTCCATCCAAGGCGTTGAATCTTGAGAATGGAGTGATTTGTTATGATATACAAGAACAAATTGGCGGTCGTACAGGTATGAAATGGCGGAGAGATAAGTTAGCTCCATGGGCAAAGTCCCGTCCAAGGCGTTGCTCCCAAGATGACTGGAAAGACATGTCCCAACCATTAACGGCATTAAAGAGACAACAAAACCACACTGGAATGACACGAAACGACATCGAGACAGCATTGCAAACAAAAAGGCTGAACTGAACGTGAGCCAGGCTAAAAGACAGGGCCTTACCCACCCACAGACCACAGCAAGGAGATTCACCCTAGCAAGAAAGTATTATCCCCACATGAGAGGACTTTTTTCATGGTTCAGTGTTACAGTGAGGCTCGTTACAGTGAGGGGTTGGTGAGAAGGCCGAGCGTGGAAAGAATTGAGCCCTCTAAGATTTTGCCAAGGCCGAGCTTTTGAGGCGCCTCATAACATAATTCGTCAAAAGCCGTTATGCGGTGCCTCAAAACCCATCAAAAGCCGATTTGAGGCGCCTCAAGAAATTTAGGGGTTGAGCGTCACAGCGAGGCGAGGTTGGTGGTGAGAAGGCCGAGCAACAAGGTTGGAAAGCTTGCTGGAAGGACGCATGGAGCCCCTCAAGTTGTTGCTGCTCA